ATCATGTATCTCTGCGATCAAAATCCTGGCGAAGTCAACCTCCAATTATGCCACAACTGCTGCCAGCATCACAACCCTATCCGAAATAACCACATTGTCTGCCTGAGTAGGGGATAGTCTGGTACACACAATGGTCCAAAAGTACTTCACAGTGAAGGTCATGGAAGCCTTTCTGATAGGCAAAGTCATATTGTGCACCCACTCGGTACACTCCTCCTCATCTGTAATGTGACGGGCTATCCGATGGAGTAAACTCTCTCTGTGGTCAGCATCCCTCTAGAAAGCTTCACTCTGAAAGTCTCCCATCCTGTAGTCATACTCCACAATATTGATCAGCAGAGTGTGGTCAAGGCCATAAATGAACCTGCAGATAGTGGTCTCAAAGATATCAATAGAAAAGTTCCGCACCAAGGAAGCCTGAAGTGGGGGCTGAGCCATTGGCTTAGCCCATTTAGAGATAGAGTTACGGACGGTGGTTGTGTATGAAACTTAAAACTCTTGGGCCATATCCTCACTAAATTTCCCCAGACTGCGTGCCATCCACTCACACTTGTGTCTCTTGAATAACTCCTCTATATAGTGGGAACGGTTTGGAGGCTACCTGTAGGAACCCGACGCTCCTCAGTAATAATGCAGGCCATCTTCTGATGTTTATTAACCACCTTGGAATTAGAACAAATTTGTTTCTGGGACTTGACGCACCACCTGTTCGGTTCCATGGCATTCAAAATTTTTTCATCTCTACGTGATACAAGAGCATCAGAGAAAGATATGGAAGGACTTCTGGAACTGGAGCCGGACTACGACTCTGCTACAGTTAAAGCCTCCTCCTCAGACTGGGGGCAGTGACCGCGACCTTGTCACTGGATGAAATAATCTTCCTAGCCATGTTCTTCGTGGTTCGGGGTGCAATAGGGGAATCTCTGGTGGTCTCTGGGATGTATTCTTGATCGGTGTGGTGTCCTCATCTAGCAAGCATCGAAAAGGGGCGACTGACTTGAACTTGCCCTTCCTTGCTTAAACAAAATCTTGTTTCGGGGCCATGGTACATGTGGAAGCTTAGTTAGTACTCAAAAAACACAAAAAGACCCAAGGAAAATTATTAGAAAACCTTTTAGATTTAGACAAAAAATAAAAAATTTCTAGGCAGTATCTAATTTGGTAACCCACGGTGGCTACCTACTGTCCGTCGATGGAACGAGGGTCCCCTAGGTAGGTCAGAGGGTCCCTTTTTGCATTATTGCAGTTGGAACCACGGATCTGCAGAACAGTCCATCGAATGAACGATGGACTGTAGTCCACACAGTGGATCACAACTTAGCAAACATTTTGAGCAGGGCTAGTGACGGACCATGACCTACGATCCATAGGTGGAACTACGAACCGTTGGTGATGGTCGTGGAGCAAAGTTGTGCCAGTTTTAAGTTTCATATTTGACTTCAATAACATTAACACAACAAGCATTCGATTATTTAAGCTTAAACATGCATTTCAACATATTATGTGGTAGTTCATCATCCTTAGGGTTTTGATCATGCAATTTCCAACAAACAACACATAAACATTGAAAAACTCTAAGTCCAAACTTCCAACCAGACCTATCAACTACACACTCACACACCATCATTCGGAAAGTATTTATTAAACCAAATTTCAACAACCCGAGGTCGAGTGCAACTTTGTGACTTCATAATGTAAACAATGAACAAGGAATTCAATGTTTATGGTGAAATCATTTACCTTTCAAGAAATCAAAGTTGATGAGTGTGTTAATCTAGTACAAGCTCCTTAGACCAACGCTAACACCGAACCCAGACCTTTATTCGTTGATAGGAAATAGAGGATTATAAGAGAGAAAGGGAGAATTAGGGACAAAATGGCAGAAATGGAAGTAGGGCTAATTATCAGTTGTATTGGAGGATTTTATGGGATTAATTTGGAAGTGGAGTGGGTTATTTTGGGGTGATGAAGTGGTTTTTAACGGCTGAGGGGAGGGAGGAATATGAAGTTGGGTGTGTGTTTGAAATGAGGATTTGTTATTTATATGGGGTATGGGTCGGGTAACTAGTACCCTTAACTTGGACCCACGAGACCCCATTGACGGTCCGTAGGTCGACCTACGGTCCGTCGATTGGGTCCGTAGGTCATTCCAACATTTAGTAATAAAATCAGAAAACATACATGGCATATACGGATGCCATCCACGGTCTATGGATTGACTGACGGACAGTCGATGGGATCCGTAGACCACTACTATAACTTAATTTATTCAGATTTTGCCTTTTCGTCCCTGCACACGTACAAAACATAATGCCTTCATTTTTTCATTTTCTGGACATCTTTTAGACACGGACCCTATTCTATCTATATCTAGCTAACACTAAACATAAATATTAATAAACAGATATCTATAAAATAGAGGTTCTGTAAAACTCGACGGACTAAAGAGCCATTCGGCTAATCCCCGAATGGTCGGCGACATATGGGACCATCACCGACTAGCGCGTGAACTGAAGGGTGATGAAGGGCTGAATCATTTTTAAATTCAAAAATCTCCCTCAATTGATATTTTCTGACTTTTACACTTTCACAACCGCAATTTAGATTTCCTTACTTTATTTCACTGCATTTTCATGTGGAATCAATTACTCGGGGGATTTTTGGGAGACATTGTTCTTGAGCTTGAAGGTTTTGAAGGTTTTCAACTCCAAGAAATTGGAAGTGGGTATCCAAGAATCTTCATCCTAGATGTGTTTAAAGACATTTTCTATCGTACCCATTTGATGGAAACACTTGTTGGTATTGATTTCTATTTCTTTTTCATGTCTAGCTAAAACCCCAATTCTTGCGGTGTGATTTTGTGAATATGGGTTAAATTTCCTGTTGGGTATTGCTTATTGTTAGTCTATTTGTTGTTAAAATGTGATTTTGTTTAGTAGTTGTGTTTGAACTTAATGGGATTGTAGTTGCAAATACCATTTCGTCTTAGTGTTTTTGGCTTGCTCGAGAGAGAGGTTTTAAAACTAAGACTAGTAAATCAAGAGCCGGTGGTTATTGGGTCATCGTGGGTTCAGCTCGAGAGAGTGAATCCTAGACCTTCTCCCATACATTCAACTCGAGAGAGTGAATGGGCTAAAGAGGAGGTTGTGCTTAAGTGCTGCACCTCCGTGTTCGAGAGAAACCGAGTTGATTCGGGGTAAGTTGCTCGAGAGAGAATTTACCCCCACTAAAGCCTAGCCTAGGTACAAATATTCAGCGATTTACTATCAATAGCATTTACCCAATAGTATATTTTATCCCATATTCCTATCACATTGTAATAATCCCGTCTCCCTATCTCGTATCTTTATATTGTCGCTATTTTTATCATTAGTTGAATACAAACCCCCAATTGATAATTGACATTTGTGTTAACCTTTAGATTTAGTATGCTTTTATTTGTTTCGTTAATGTTTATAGCTATGATTGATTAGAACTTGATTTTACTTTTCTATTAATTCTTGCAACCACTCCCTTCGGACTCGACCCCAACCCATTTGGTTGTGTTATATTAATTCACGCGATTGTAGACACTTGAATTGGATGTTGTGTCTTGATTACACAAACATCAAAGGTGAAATGACACCTTTTCTTCTCTTTTCACCATTTTTTCCTAAGTTGGCTATTCAAACAAACCACACTTCTTAAGAGTTATGGGTGAATGGATAAAACAATTGCTCATGTTTCTTCCAAGAAAAAGGTAAGGCTCGATAGTGTTCAAGCAAGGTTCACACATCTCACAAGGTTGGCCACAAAATAGATATATTGTGAAATTGTTTCACTCTTCAAATTCGTTGCCTAAGATCATTTCAAGTGCTTGCATCACTTAGTCAACCAGACCAACGGGGTAAATTATTGGTGTTATCACACAATTGTTCAAAGTACTCTCAACACACAAGGCATCGACACCAATATCAAACGAGACTCCACACTTTTGCTACTGTGCAATGTTCATCACAAGAGGCTCATTTGATAACCGGCTAGTCACAACGAGATGCTAAAAGTTCACACATTTCTATGAAACTTCATTGGACTCATCGTAGCTGCACATTCATTTCGTTCGATTAAGAGCACTATTCAGGTCATCGGTATTGATCATAATCGATACTCAAGTTTGCACAAGAACAACACAATTACAATTTCTCACAAACTCCTACCACCCCCACCAAAATCATTCACAGTGTCCTCAATGTGAGTAGAGAAAAAACCCTTAACAAAAATAAAAATAAATTAGTGGCACTTAAACAAGCAGAGTAGGGAGACAAGGAATCTTCACTAAGAGCCCATGTGGTGGAAACTTGTTGCGGTCGCCAAACTGCTTGGCTACACGCTAAATGGTTTGGACCTCACCGAAATTTCCAGTGTGCAACCAGTCTGTGTGGGAGAAAAAAGAAAGACAAGAGGGGACCACTGAATGTATCGGCGCATCGCCCAAAGGAATTGAAACCTCGCCAAATGATCCACGATTTGGGGCTATCAGGGCTACTGCAAAAAAGAGGTGAAAGTCAGGTCGCCCAATCACTTCGGCGAGTCGCCGAGTAGTGCAAGTATCCCGCCTAATGTTCCAGTGTCTCATTCTATTTTTAATTCCTAGAAGGTGATCAACTTTGGGATCACCAAATTGACTCGGCGACTCGCCGGTGAAGTCTTAACTTCGCAAAGTCTCCTACACCTGTTCATTCAGCACAAATTATTCAAAACCCTAACACATGGGTTGCCTCCCAAGAAGTGCCTCGCTTAATGTCGTGGCAGGACATGGAAATGCTGTCAAGCATCTTCCAGATACACCATATCAATCATGGAAATTTCATGGTATTCTCTGAAGTACAATTTCAAGCGTTGCCCATCCACCTTGAAGGCAGGGTCTTCTTTGCATTCAACTTCAATGGCACCATTTGTGAACGCCCGCATTACTCTAAATGGGCCTGACCATTTTGATTTTAGTTATCCTGGAAAGAGTCTCAGTCGAGAATTATATGGCAACACCCAATCTCCAACTCGGAACTCTGTCTAAGGATTGTAGAATCATGCCACTTCTTCATTTTTTCATTGTAGAGGGCTGAACTTTCGTATGCCCTAAACCTGAATTCATCCAATTCATTTAGTTGATCAACTCTCTCTTTTGAATCATTGGTCCAATCAAAATTTAATGCCTTTAATGCCCAAAGTGCTTTGTATTCAAGTTCAATTGGTAAGTGACAAGACTTCTCAAAAACTAGTTGATACAGAGATATGCCAATTGGTTTCATGTAAGCGATGCGATATGCCCAAAGAGCATCATTTATCTTTTGAGACCAATTAGTTCTATTTGGATTTACGGTCTTTGCCAATATACTCTTAATCTCGCAGTTCGAAACTTCCACTTGGCCACATGGTTGGGGATGATATGGTGTAGCCACTTTGTTTTTCATGCCGTATTTACTCAATGCAGATCCAAATAGGCGATTGCAAAAATGTGACCCTCCATCACTAATAACTCGAGAAGTGCCAAATCTTGCAAAGATGTAGCATTTTAGAAATTGAACAACGTTCTTCCCCTCATTGTTAGGTAGTGCCACTGCTTCCACACATTTGGAAACATAATCCATAGCCATAAAAATATACATGTTACCAAATAAGCTCACGAATGGGCCCATGAAATCTATTCCCCAGACATCAAATAACTCAACTTCCAAAATAGGCTGAAGAGGCAACTCATTTCATCGGGATACCCCACCTTGTTTTTGGCATTGAACACATTTCTTGACAAACTCATGAGCATCTTTGTAAAGGGATTGCCAGTAGTACCCACTTTGAATAATTTTAGTGGTTGTGTGTACACCGCTATGATGACCCCCAACGGCTGAAGCATGACTAGCATAAAGAATCCTATTGAACTCTTCCTCAGGTAGACATCGCCTAATGATATGATCTGCAAATTCACTAAATAAATATGTCTCATCCCAAAAGTATTTCTTGACATCAAACAAGAACCTCTTTTGTTGGTAGAATTTCAACCCTTCCGGCATCAATCCACATACCACATAATTAGAAAAATCAGCATACTAAGGAACTTGTTGAAAAGTGACCGATAATACCTGCTCATCGGGAAATGAGTCATTAATCTCCACCTCCAGCTCTTCATTCTCCTTTCCTTCTAATTTGAGAGATGGTCAGCCACTTGATTTTCATACCCTCTTCTATCGTTGACTTCAAAGTCAAATTCTTGCAGCAATAATACCCACCTTATCAATCTTGGCTTGCCATCTTTCTTCTCTGTCAAATAAATCAAGGCTGCATGATCAGTGTGAAGAACCACTTTGGTGCATAACAAATATGCTCAAAATTTTTCAAAGGCATATACCACCGCAGGTAATTTCTTCTCTGTAACCATGAAGTTACGCTGAGCAACATTCAGTGTTTTGCTTGTGTATTAAATGGGATGGAATAGCTTGTTACATTTTTTCCCAACATCACACCTAATGGTGTACCACTGACATCACACATCACTTCGAAAGCGGCTGACCAATCGGGGCTAATGATAACCAGGGTAGAGATCAATTTCTCTTTCAGACGCGTAAAGGCTGCCAAACAAGCACCATCAACGTAAAATTTTGCCTCATTTTTAAATAATTTGCATAATGGGGGTACAATTTTTGAGAAGTCTTTCATGAATCTCTAGTAGAATCCGACATGCCCCAAGAAACTACGAATGACTTTTATCAAGATTGGTGGTGGTAACTTCTCAATTACCTTAATCTTCTCTTTATCAACCTCCAACCCCTTTTGCGATACCTTGTGACCCAAAACTATACCTTCCTTAACTATGAAGTGACATTTCTCCCAATTTAGGACTAGATTACTTTCCATACATCTTTGAAAACGTGCCCAAGGTGTGCCAAACATGTTTCAAAAGAATCGCCCACAACTGAAAAGTCATTCATGTAAACTTCCATTGGATGTTCTACCATATCTGCAAAAATAGACAACATGCAACCTTGGAACATTGCCGGAGCATTACATAACCCGAATGACATCCTTTTGAAAGCAAAAGTACCGTAAGGACAGGTGAATGTTGTCTTATCCTAATCTTCCGCTGCAATAGAGATTTGATTATACCCGGAGTAACCATCTAAGAAGCAATACAATCCTCGCTCCGAAAGTAGATCAAGCATCTAATCCATGAACGACATGGGGTAATGATCCTTTTCCGTCCATGAAATTAACTTGTGATAAACAATCTAAACCCTCCATCCGGTTACCGGTCTCATCGAAACTAGTTCTCCTTTCTCGTTGGGAACTACCGGGATGTCCCCCTTCTTGGGTACACATTGCACCGAGCTCACCAATTTGCTATTTGCAATAGGGTAGATCACGCCTTCATCCAACCACTTGATAATCTCATTTTTCACCACCTCTTGCATTGGTGGGTTCAATCTCCTTTGATGATCGACACTCAGTTTGAATTCACTATCAAGTTGAATTTTTTGAGTGCATATGCTGGGTGGAATACCCACAATATCAGTGATCGTCCACCCTATAGCTTTGATGTGCTTTTTCAACACCTCAAGAAGCATATTGACTTGCCATTCGAGCAAGTCATTAGGAACAATAACCTGTAAAGTGTTGTTTTCCCCCAAAAATGCATATCGCAAATGATCAGGAAGTGCTTTTAACTCCAGCTTTGGTGGTTCCACCGTAGACTATTTTGCGGGAGGATTTTCTTGATTTTTCAGATCAATCTCAAACTTTAATGGATTCCTTGAGAATTACCCCAATAACGAAAGGGATGCTACCACCTCATCATAACCTTACACTTCGGTCTCATCATAGTTGCAAACATCGGCTCAAGTGGGTCACTCAGACATAATTAATGGCTCACACTAGCCAGAGCCTCGTGAATTATATCAACTGTCGAAACCACATGAATGCCTCTTGGGTGCTTCATTGACTTACACACATTAAAGGTTACTTGATCATCGGTCACCCAAAACTTCAATTCTCCGCTTTCCACATTTACTGGTGCCGTTCCTGTTGCTAAGAATGGTCTTCCTAAAATGATAGAAATTTTAGCATCAATCTAGGAATTAAGGATACCAAAATCCGCTGAAAATATGAATCGGTCCACCTTTACCAAAATATCATAGAGTATCCCCACAGGGTGTTTAATCGATCGGTCTGCCATCAAGAGTCTCATTGTTGTGGATTTTGGTTCACCAAAACCAAGTTGTTTATATATTGCGTATGGCATTAGGTTGATGCTTGCTCCTAAGTGACATAGGGCCTTGGAAAATTGGAGCATGCCGATAGTGCAATGGATGGTGAAAGCTTTGAGATCTTCTTTCTGCTTGATCATCTCATAAGTCATAATTGCACAACAACTACGAGAAACTTCAATAGTTTTGAAGTCCAAACTTCTTTTGTTTGTGACTAACTCTTTCATAAACTTGGCACAACCTGACATCTCCAACAATGCCTCCACTAGAGGGATATTAATTGATAATGTCTTGAACAACGATAAGAACTTCTTCAACTTTTCATCCTCGTTTTTCTGCTTGAGACGTTGGGGAATTAGAGGAGGTATTTTGGGTTGATGTTGCACCAATTTTGATATTGGATTCCTTTTTCCTACATCTTTTTGTGGCTCTTTGGCAATGCTTTGTTGGATGAGTATCTCTTCTTCTTAAGCACCTTTATCTTCTTCATGAGCTTGAGCTCCATCATTGCCTTTCATATCACCTATTGCTTCCTTTCCGCTTCGAGTAGCCATAATCAAATCTCTGTCACCATCCTTTACCAAAGTTGTTATAGGTGTGTTGTCGCCCTCCCCCATTACTTTTGGTCCCAATTGTGCCTAAAGCTGGTTCAGCTGGCCTTCAAGTAGCTTGATTGCATCAACATGAAAATTCACTCTATTGTTCAATGACGAGAAGTCGTCTTTCATCCCTTTTAGTAAGTCATCCGAACCCTCAACTTTATCAAGGATGCAAGACAACAAATCATCTACTCGGGGACTACTCGTACTCCACTTTGACTTTGGGCTCTCACTAGATTGTGTATGGTGCTCTTCATGATTACCCTCTCTTTTCTAAGGATCATTTTGCTCAGCCCATTCTTGATAGTATCTTCTCCGCTCTTCATCTTTGTGACAGTTCCAACCTTGATTCCCACCCTATTTCAAGTAACGTGGGTGGAAACCCTCCTCAAATTCGTGAAAGTTCCAACCTTGATTCTCCCCCAGCTTTGAATAGCTTGAGGAAGTACCTTTCTCAATTCTAAACACTTCCCTTGCTCCTTTGGGTTTGTTCACATTTTCTAACACTTGCGTTTGTAGCATCTCTATTTGGGATAGCATTTTCTTGATGTTCTCATCCCTTTCTCTCTCTTTATCAAGTTGTTCTTGGGTCATTCTAAAGCAAAAAGAGGAGACTTGATCTTCTTCAGTATACCAAGCTTAGTTTATTTTTGTCATGTCATCAAGAAGAAATGAAGCCACATCAAATGATTGCAACATTATTCCACCTTGAATCAATTGATCAACCACTCCTTTATTTACCGAGTCAAGGCTTCGATAGAAGTATTGTAGCAGCATATTGTTTGGAAGCCCATGAGTTGGGCATTGGAGTAGTAGCTTCTTAAACCTCAACCATGTTTCATGGATCGATTCACCTTCCAATCACTTGAACCCTTGAATGTTGTCTCTGACTTTCATCATCCTCGATGGAGGAAAGAACCTCACATTAAATGCCATAATTAGCTCATCCTATGATGTTATAGAGTTCTTTTGTAACTTAGATAACCATTTGCTCGCTTCACCCGTCAGTGACAAAGGGAATAATCTGAGACAGACTAATTATTGTGATACAATCTTGTTAGTGAATGAGCCACAAACATCTATAAAATTTCGCATATGCTAATGTGGGTCTTCAAGAGTCATCCCTCCATAGAGTCTCTTCATTCGAAGGAGGTGAAGAGTTGTATTGGTAACATGGAATGTAACATTCTCTTTAGTTGGTGGCGGCCGGATTGCACTAATTCCACCCAATTGGATTGGGTTGTGCACACTAGTAAGATCTTCAATATCAGCTTGATGACCCACCTGATCACCATTACTCTTTGTCTCACTTATTTCTTTGTTTGCTCAACACAACCAAGATACACACAAAAGCAAATCAAGTAGAATCCACTTTAGCCAATAAAATTACGAATCAAACTTCGATAAGAGAATCCTAAATAACACCACTCCCCGGCAACGGTGCCATTTTTCTATTTACATTTCAAGCACACCTCATCCAGTTCTAGGTGGAAACGATAATAAATCAGTACATAACCCTACTAAATGTGTTGGGGTCAAATCCCACAAGGAGCGGTATGTATTTTGAATTCAAATATGAAGTTTCAACAACAATTTTGTAGCTAAAAGGGTTAAAGATTTTTGGAGACTATCAATGAAATTTAGAGGTTGACAACAATGTCAAGATGGTGGGTTTCTTAATTTGGTAAACAAACTCGACAAACACTTGAAAATAACCAAATAGGGAGAATGAACTTGGGGGTTGACAAACCAATCACTAAATTCAGCCAATGGGTGTAAATTACTAACAAAAAG